ATTTCCTTTCAGATACTGTACGAGTACTTAATTTAGCGGACTCATATTTTAGCATATAAACGAGTTTTAATGGACAACGAGTTGAGGAATTAGCGCACTCATATAATATGCAGAGAAAATGATAAACAGAAACTTGTATTACCATAATTAGAATTTAGCGTAAGTTATAAAGGGCGAAGAGCGTTGAATTTAGAGAACCGCTAAACTATGAACGCTTACAGTACATTTGTGATGCAATGTCTTTAAATAAAAAGAAAGTTATTGACTACAACGATCGTGTGTAGCCTCCTTAGCTTAAAACCAGGCCATTTATAGACATTTCAACACAAGTCGATTATTTCGAACTTTACTTACAAAAAGACAACAGAAACAAAGCTTACAATTCAGCTGAATGATAAGCGTGACGATTGAAATTTCCTATGTTGAAATGCCCTTTTCTTGACAGTCACATCCCCGGAATATTGAGGAAACGTGCATTTCATTCGATATTTCCGGACCTGCTCCGAAAATCACGATTCATATGACAGATATCGAATGCTAACAGACAACCCATTTCATTTTTTATTATTTTCATTCTTCATACAAACTGGGATCATCAAACATCCCGAATACGAAGAGCCAATCAAATTTTAGGAAATGCATTGATCATCTTTTCAAATTCCTAAACAAAACATGTTATTTTTAAAATAGATATTATTAGAATCACAGGAAAAATAACTAGTCAATTAAACGATGCATTGCCGTTATAATCGTTATATAAATGATTATAAGTAAACAAGGCAGATTGTTAGATTTTATTTCTTTTTTGCATCCTTTCTGATAGCTATAATGTTTAAACAGTGAACACTTTTCTTCACTTTCAAATTTCATAAAACACATGCAAATATTTATATTGTCTTGATGAACTAGATATGTTAACAAAAATTTGATATTATGTTTTCAACAAATTGAAGCGATGTTGAATACCTCTAGTAACAGGTAAATGTAAATAAAACACTTGTAAAACTTCTACAAAAAGGAAGCTTTGTTGTAGTGATAAAATCGCTACATCTAGCAATACTTTAAAACAGGTGCCTGCTCGTTAAACCAATTGCGCCAACGGAATTTGAAACAAGTGCGTCCGGGGCCATGTTAATCTATAAAGTGCATAGTATCGCTAGTGTTAACAATAACGTCTACAGACCATCGGTTTAACCCATCTGGAACCCATACACCCATTGAAGTGTACCTGTACTTTGTTCACACGAGCATTCATCCTATAATTGATCTTCACTACAGGCCATGACGATCTGATGCTGAACATCATGGTCCCGTGGATGATGCGTATCAGTTTGGTTTGATAAACAATGGGACAAAGTCTCCAGTATTCAGTAGATAATGTTTATGAGAACCTATGATCCAACACTTTGTGTGAAATATTGATTGTTATGCGAAACTTGGTTCTCAACACATTAAAGTACAAATTCGACAGATTTTTAAAAACAAAACCACCATTTAAAAAATAGTATTAACATATAGATTTGTTTTCCACTTATTTTCTCTCACATATATTTACATCAAGCACACAACGGTTATAAAATACAAATAATCTGTTAAATTTTGTTCTATTTCTCGCAAAAGTAACAACATAAAAATCACACAAATCGCCAGATATTTTACAAACCGAATACTTTTTTAATGTAAGTTTTTTTTGAACAGTGGTATTTGCTATAACGAGGACTAGTGGTTTTGTATATGAGTTTATTTTTTTAGAATAGTATTTGAAATCATATCACCATTGATGCGTTATAAAATAAAGGTTTATTCACTGAATTATTTTTGGATTCTGATCAGTATACAAGTTGCTTATATCGATCGATCTATTTCAAATTCATTGCTAGATTGTATCGAATATATTAGGTCATTATAAGGGACTTTCAAATAGGTGTAACATGTATGTCAACATTTTATATTTTAAAGTTTGATACTTTTACTGGATCCATTACCCTGAAAAACTTATATCGGAATTGTGCAATGTCATATCACCTGGGAACAGAGCTTTTGCTCGATCCGTGATGAATGCAAAGAATGTACATATGTTGTTCATTTCAATGCATTATGCCTTCGGAATCCTATTATGTGATTCATAAAGTAACTTGTATTAGCCTGTCGTAAAATAGCAATTAGACATTCAATTTTGATCAATCTATATTGAAATAAAGCATTGTAATAAAATATTTGATGTGCATGCCAATGTTATCTTGGAAAATATTTATGTGTAGAATAGTTGTGACATGTATCATGATACTATTTGCAATTATTTTTAAAAGACGATCCCCTTTTACAGCTGCTAGATGTCAATCAAACTGTGAAGAAAAAAAATCAATTATTCCAACTATTGATTAAGAAATAAAGTCTGTCACGAATTTGTTGATTAAATATACATGCGTGATGGATATATTCCTCTTTTATAACCATTCATAAATTATAAATTGAGGAAGAAAATCATTGTTAGTTTAGGCAAACTATAGATAGTATCTGAAATATGCAGTATTTGCTCCTTATAGGATAAACTATTGAAGAAATAATAAAACTGATGACTAATGTTTTATTAAGGAAACATGGTAAATCAAAAGTAAGGAAATGTATTATATACATGTATGGCTCATATTTTAATTACAATGCTCAGAAACTTTAGTAAAATTTAAAACATTTAAAACTATTTTAGAAAGTTAATATTCCAAAAATATTCTAAAATGTCAATGAGTCAGGTATTGAAAGTTATTAAAATTAAGATTATCTTTATATATATTTATATAAAAGCCATAGTAAAATAGAAAATGTGATAATATTTTTATGCGTGTATTAATTATCCATCTTATGCTGGACTTATCAACAAACTTTTACACATAGAATTTTACATTCTCGCCACAAAAGAAAACAAACAAATAAACAGATTATATAAACAAGACACGTCATTTTCATTCATTAAACAGATGTAACCAACATTTCAGTTCCCGATCTCTTCACAGCGCTCTCAGCAAATATTTGGGTTCTGAGTTGGATGTTTATATGATTGCTAAATAAGAACAGCATGTCGCCATCTATTTCTTCAGTGGTTTATTTGGTGATGAAGCGTACAAGTACGTTTCGAATTAGTACCGTGTAAGGATACAACGATATTTGTTACAGGTATTGTCTTACAATTAAACTTATCGTGTACTTTAAAACAAAAAATACATACATAATATATATTATATACTATATCTCAAACTATTGTTACAGATAATCATTACAGCCCCTTTATCTTACGTGTTGTTTGAAAAAACTATCATGTCTATTGCTGATAATCTTCGGTATATTATGTATGATGTTCTGCTAAGGGATTCGTCTGTTTGACATCTTTGAACATTGTTAACAGTATAAACATGCACGTGGATATGTTAAACAATAAACACGATAGATTGTACTTTAACAATTATAAAGGAAGATTTTGAAAGATTTTTGTGTCTTTTGATGAACAGTGTTACAGTACGCTAAGGTGTGGCAACAGGTAAGACCAAGTATATATACAATCTGACTAGAGTGCTATACGGGTCTATTTTGATGATGAATATGTGTGAACTGTTGTTGCGATTTTAGTTTGATTTACAATAGAATTAGGATCAGGAGTACATACCAGCACATTTTGTAAAAGGCGGGCCGGATCTTATATAAACCACACACACACAAACAGCGTCTTTGAGTACATACGAGAACACACAAGCTCGCCTTTATTGCATGCAATAAATTGCCTTTTTTAAAGGGTGCTTTCTGTAATTGGGCCGTCGAAACAATTCAGCCGTTTCTGAGGCGAAAGTTGTTTCAATACCGATGCAATGCATATCACAATCCGAGTGACTACCTTAACTAAAGCAGACAGACAATTGAGACAATTATATGGTTCAACATGGAAACAATGAATAAATTCTACTTGAATTACATTATAATAAGATGATTGCATTACTATCTCTGTCTCTTTGAAGTTTAGCATCGTTGCAAAGTCTTCTCTAAAGCCACTGTTGATTAAATCAAATGTAGAAAAAGAAGGAGAACAAAATATAGATCAAAATATGTATGAATTGGATACAAAGTTACTTTATTTCTATGTATCATTTATTTTTCCAGTAATCAGAATAAGTGAGTAATATCAATAAAAATTTATTTCATAATTGTTCTAAAAGAAATAAAGCTTGATATCAGATCAGTACTCGTTCCACATAGTGCATATTCAATTTCAACTTGACTTGTGCATAACATAGTAAAGTGAACTGCCGATTATTCCGGTGCATAAAAATGTATTTTATTCCTAAATTTTAATTTCCTCATTGATGTATCGATCAAAAACCTGAATGGTCTGCCTACGGTATTCATAAACCCAAGGATAGAACCACATACATGAATGTAAGTCATCTTCTGAAAATGTACTTTGATATTGCATTCTGCTTCAAGAAAACCTGGTTATGGGCCTACGTTAATTTCTCAATGAACGAAATTGGCATATTTTGCAGTGCAAAAGTTTACTTAATTAGCGTTTATGTGTCTTCTGACAAGAATTTTAAATATTGATTCCTTAATTCGTATTTCTAGTGAATAGTTTACATTTTCTGTACCGAGAGACACATGTCGGGCATTTTAGAGAAGACGTGCATTGTTCTATTGCATCCCTTCATCTTAACAGTTGTTTCGAATCTTACCTAGGTAGATTTGTGTGTGGTAGAACCAACGGATTATGATGATCATATCAAACACCATATATTAAACAGATATTAGCAGGAGACCTGATTTCAAATCAATATAACACATAATGACCACGCCATAATAGTAAATGATATCTCTCTGGTGGCTTGTGGCTTGAATGCCAGGTGTTCAGTGGTTGGGTATTCAGCCGTCCGTAAAGATTGTAAAGCCCCATGGAGACAAGGGGCTGGTATATAAAGATATGACAAAGCCAGTCTGATCAGTTCTTGCCTATACATCAAATAGACTTTACAATCAGTTCTGCCATAGCGAGGAGATTAACATGGAGTCTGCACAGTCAACATCCACCATTACCGCTACAGACAGGATCAACAGTGCCCTGGCAACACTCAAAAGCGATATGGTAAATATCTATGATTTACATAAAATATTAAAAGACGATTTTGTCATATTTCATCATTACACTTTTCATATTTAGATTCTTTTTGTATCATAAAAAGGTACTGTATTATAATTTTAATTAAAACGTTTAAAAACGAATTATTTCAATTGTTCATGTTTTAAAAACATTTCTACCATTAAGGAAGAAAGATAACATCAACAATATCCAAGACTATTATTCCTATCTTTTCATCATTACAGATTGACCTTAGACAGCAAGATGTCCAGTTGTTAAAGCAGCTCATGTGTATCAATGAAAACATCCAGAAACTGACCAAACGGAAAGGGAGTTCTAGTACGCCACTTAGGAAGAAACTGGCTCTAGTCAACGGACGAATGAACTTTGTCAACATTGACGAGTCCATCACCGACAAAAAGAACCATTGTATCATAACCGGTCACCTAAGTGGGTCCCTCGCTAGCATTGAAGGTAAATATGCTACATGTTCAAGTTTGAATTAAAATCTATGATGAGACCTTATTTTAGGAGAATACGAAATATAACGAAACATTACAAGCAATGGTCTTTTTATCAAAACTTAGTAACGGTAAAGCATAAATCTTATTAAACAAATGCATACTTTGACAAAGCTCTAATGTGTTACTGTACTCTACTACCGTTTCAGACTCTTCCAATTCTGCTGAGGACCTGAGTTCGGCAGACTCCGACAGCGATGACAGCATATGTGGAACAACATTAAGCTTTTGAAAAGGACTCGAATTGGGTTTCGAATCCTAACTTGCAAGGAGTATAGTTCCAAGAAATTCAGAAACAATGTGCAAAAGTAAAACAGCCACTCTTAACGTTCTCTATCGACGAATACATGATGTTCACAACCAGCTTTGACTTCTGTGACACTTCCTGGGATTACAATCTGGTGTTCCCATTGCACCATTTTCACTTTGATCCTGCTAGATAGCAAGATGCTCTATGACTGAAAATTCTTAAAAGCAGAAAAAGAGCTCATTTATTAAAAGACATTTGCTGAACTCTGCCAAAGAATCTAATTGTGTTCCCACCCTGAACGTATGAGTTTAAATGTGTTCTCAAAAGAAGTGATGGTTATGTAACTTTATTAACCAATTGGACGCAATTTTGACTGAAATAGTTAGCGTTAGTTAACATATCATTCATATGAAATAACGAAGAGATCCTGTCTGTTATTAACAACACAAGACATTCTATATTTTTACAATCAATTAAACTCTATCGATTATGAACATGTTACTTGGAGTATGAATGTATACAAAAGTAACGAACTAGACAAATGTGCGTAAATACACATGGCAATATCAAAGTGTGTGAATGTGTTTATATTATATAACTTTATATAACTATTGTTATCGACAACAGTCTGCATGACTGAACAAACTTGTTATTTTTATAAACTGTTATTGAGATAATAAAAAGAAACTCAAAATGTATGTGCTTCCTCTTTTTGTTTTATTCTGTAGAAACTTTAAAAAAAAAGAATACAATCTGTACGACTGAAACAGAACAAAATTCTTCTGTGATTTTTCTTTCGCTTAGGAAAAAAAAGGTTATACAAATCTTCACTAGTCAAGATGAATTATACAAGGTATATTCATCTTGATGTTTCTGGCTTAAATACATGAAATTATGCATAACTGATATATTGTTCTCGGTCATTATATAGTGTATGCTGTCAAATGCGTTGAATGTAATTGATTAACTCGGTAAAGTAACGTTAAGTTACAAGCATGATTAATGCTTGCAATTAGTATAATACCTATTAAATTTATATATTGCCTTAATAAGACATTAACCATTTTATAATTCTAACGACAATGAGGCGTACTCTCAATCAAGAATTTCAGAAAACTTGATGGGGTGGTTCTTAACCTGCATAACTTCCATTTTATGTTATCAATAAATCAAACTTTAAATGCAATATGTTAACCTCATATGTCATGCATGACAGTAAAAGAGCATAAGAAGAATTTTAACTGCAGCATTTTATGAATTCACAGATTTCTCAACAGATTTTGATAATGATTAAGTATATATAAAACTTACCTCAATAACCTTTTAAAAAATCCAAAAATTGAAAGAGTGGTTTGTCATTTTTGGCAGCTTTGGCCAATATCTCATAAAAGAGAAAATATTGGTACACAAAATGACATCCAACTCTTCCCCCTTCTAAGCTATAACAATCGAGCAGAAATGTACTTTAGCTTGATTTTGAAAAATACACCACTTATCGTTAATTTAACCATAAAATTCGGTTATATATATTTATTGATGGATCTGATTACAGATGCATTATTTGCAAACAATACCTTTTGTTGTTTAATGTTAATGTCAAAACAAATAGGTTTAAAGTATACAAAACAAGCGGCTTTATCATACCCTGTGTTGTTTTCTTCCCCCAATCTCTGTTCAATCTCTCAATGGTTTTGTCCCTGGAGCGCTGCTAAAGGTTACACATAAGCCATAGCTTAGTATAGTGAGAGAAAATATGAAGAAAAGGTACTTTGCTGTTAAAGGGCAATCCTGCAGGTACATTGCCTTTTGAAACATGCGGCAAACAGGACTCAGATTTTAGAAATAGTTTTAGAAGTTTTCATTAAGAGACATTTCGTAATATATAAGAAGTACATCGATATTATCAAAAAAAAGACTATTTAGGTCAACTGCACTTTAAAACAATAAGGATTTTAAACATGAACTTTAAGATATCACGTACAGTACATGTCATCAATGGAGTTTCTGACGACAAAGAGCCCGGTTCCATCAGAGTAACAAGTTCTGTGAATGCATCGAACTATGAGAGAAAGAAATCACACATCTAGCCGTACAAAATGTACATGTACTTTGAACACAAAGAGTACAGATCATACCGATGATTTCTTACAACAAAATATGTGTGTTTTGTATTGATCTTAACTATTGAAGACAATCATGAAAGGTTTTGGTGAAACAATATGGGATCATTTGGCGTGACTTACATCAATATCAGAACAAAGATCGATGACATTATCGTCTGTGACACTTAGTGTGTAATATCAATCATCTGTCACCACAACATATACACAGTAGACGCATTGAATGTTTTAAAGTTAACCGAAACATGGAAATAGGTAAAGCGTACTAACAAAAATTAACTGACTGATGCATTTGGCCTTTAGTTTCAAACCATGTCAAATTATTAAACATTATAATTCGTTAGCCTGCCTCAAGTTTATCGTCTACTAATTTTATATCGATTTAAAGGTTGTTCATTGTGATGAATGATATTTATCAAAAATATCAATGAAGAGGTAGTATTATGGTATGATAATCACACTGAAAGTATTCTTGTTAAATTTGTACCTACCTACAATGTATCTGTGATTTCAAACGAATTTCAAATGCATCAGAACATTCTATTTTTTTCTTTTTCTTTTAAGTGAGTTTTTCCTTGGTTCATTTCATACAATACAGAATTGGGGTACCTTAGATGTTTTCATGATTGCTCCCTATCAAAAACTGATCTACCTTAAACTATCACAACTAGTAAAATGTGTATTATACATGAGCATTCATCAAGAGGTACAGGCGCCTGTCAGTTGTGTCATTCAAAAGAACAAAAAAATGTAATCACTGCCACAATGTTAGGTGCATTACAATCTCATATTTCATATTTCATGTTAATAGTTTCATCAAACTTTATCGAATCTATTAAGTAACAATGATCCAGTGCCAGATAACTTTGATAAGCACGCTAACGAAAGTTGAACATGACAGTGTAAGAAAGGCCTAAAATTGTGAAACCGCAGAGTGTATTTGGTGCAAACAATTCTCCCCTGCTGCGGCAAGCCGTCAGTCATTCGCTTTTCATCTGTATAACACAATGGAGTGTGTATATTGACACGAATTGTATATACAAATGTAGTCATATGATTATTGCAATTTTTTTATGAAAGGGTACCGTGATGGATGAGTTTGAATCAAACCACCTGCTCTAAAATGCATCGACACTCAAAATATTTGATTAATTGTAGTTTCAAAAAGGAAAATGTTGTTTAATGTAATTAATGCTCATGAATACTTGCCCAGGTGGCCAATGGAGTTTTTGTTACCCGTTCGTTTATTAATGCAGCGCTGCATTGTTATTTTAGTGTTTAAAAGCATGATCTTTACATGTACGATATAATGCAAGCGAATAGCTAACAAATATACTCCTTGCTACACGTTAACAACTAGTTATGAGGACGTCCTAAATATAAAGAACGTGCATTTCAACCCATATATTTACGTTCTTAACAAAGCAAATACAAGGCTATCAGTTCATAGCAGGTATCTTGGTTCCTGTTGAATTTGGAACAAGATGACTACCAAGTGATGGCATCGCCGTTTGTGTTGAAATGAACACGTTGTCATAGTTACGTACGTCTGCCAAAAACCATTGCCCGTCGATAACCTGACAAGGCAGTCCCTGGATGTTTAAAATAATCCCGTTTAATTTTCGTTTGATACAAATATTTACCTGTCTTCGTTCTTTATAGGATGCAGTCAGAACATTTTGAGTTTACATACTTATATGCTTGTTTACTATGTGAAATGTATAACGTTAAAATTATTGAGGACAAAATAGTTCATTTCCCTTTTATTTTGTCTTATCTGTATTTTAAAAATGATGTGATCTCCGTGTTATGAATTAAAATGATATTTTTGTCAGGTAAACACACCTTTAAAACTAAATAAAACAGCCTCTATAGCGTCGTCATAGGTCAATTGAAAATGTACTACAAGAAAGATCATGAATAGGTTGATGACATCATACTTGGCAATAATTAAATACAATTATTTATTATGATAAACAAATAATTGTTTTGTGTCGTAGTAAGAGTGACAGTGTTTATATTTCTGCTGATGTTAATTTTTAAACCGCACTTGTCTTACTCCACTTTATTATGTTAATGTGTTCTAGTTATGAATGTACAATGATATGTAATTGAATCAACACCTACGTACTTACTGCAGGTTTATATACAGTTCAGGATGTTGGTCAAATGGAGTGAAATATAAATGGATGTGGTGAACCTAATTAGGCAATTTGGACCATTTGTTATACAAGCTTATTTCCATCCCAAGGGAACATGGTTTAACTGGTCATATTGTTGATAAGTAAGATAAACGTATCAACACAACTAATCGTTTCACTATGAACATTATCAGAGACATTGTTTATCAATGTATGAAATTCATAACTTTAGTAATTTGTTAAAGGTTACTTATAAAGCTACGATGTGCATAATTTGGCTACATGTGGTGAATATGATAAACATATTACAATATCTTTCTCTGCTCATGCACTAAGTCCTACTACTCATTTCCTTCTGATGAAATCTGCAAAGTTTTGTTATGTAACAATATTTCTATTCAAATAGCTTGCGTAACAAAATTAGCAATTAACTACGTTTAAACTAAAACAATAACGACAATTGGTAATCGGGTAAAATGGATGTTATCACGTTTTCTTAAATTTTTGAAATAAAGGAGATCCTAATATGAATATATATAATACATATTCTGATTGATACACACTATATGGATGAGTAAGTAATGAGCGAACAGAAGTCCACTACAACTGTAACAATGGGATTTTTAGGATGAATCGTATGGCTGCAATATGTGCAATCATATCAAGACAAGAATTGTATAGGTAAACAAATGATATAAAATGCTTACATGTTATAGGAACAACGTCAATCAGAATTTGAATATATTACCTAAGATATTTTTTTTATATATTCAGATAAATATACATCGGCTACGATACAGAGATCGAACACCTTTAGAATATCTACTGTCTTAAGGGGATGACGTAGTTAAATATTAGGATGTACGTCAAACGAAATGAGATGTGATTCACTATGGCTGCATCTTACATCGAATCGCAGAGTTCACGTTAGATTAGTTTTGAGGATGGACAGTGCCCTAGGAAATGTGTGGTTTGTTGGTGTCATTCATCGAAATGTTATATACAGTTACATATGATAAATATCAATATAGTCTGTGTTGTTTGTTTTTTAATAGAATACAAAGGCAAAAAAAAAATTCTTGATTTTCTTTAGATAGGTGTGTTTCAGATCAGACTACAAAGTAAGGATAAAATAAAGTGTACATTCATTTGGCGGTAATTCTGTAACAAAGTAAGGAAAATTCGAGAGTATTAAACAGTCAATCTACAAATCTTCAACCCAAACAAAATATAACGTCACTTTGATTAAAGTTTGTCCAGATTTGAAGGGCCGGCGCCAACGATTGTTATTATCAAAGGATATATTTAATAATGCATACAGGAAAAGCTAATGTGCACACAAAGTATTTCATGGCATTGTCGATATGTTACTCGACGGTAATATATCTTAAAATTGAATTCATGTTTTGTATATAAAAAGCTAGATA